GTTAGCCTGTTAGCGTCTCCATCGATATCGATATCGAAGGGAGCACGGATAAACTACTGTTTATTTGTGGCAGTGGCTGAATGATAGTTTAAGACAATTTGAAAGTATAATTATGTGAAGGTAGTGTACTGTATTGTCGTGCAAATTAATTCTTGCAGTTAAAATACGTATTATCTAAATATTAAGTAGGATCTTTAGTACTGCTTTAAAATACAGAATTGAAGCGTAAAAATGGAAAAGACGCCGAAGAGGAAGAAGAATATCGACGGCAATGATGTATTCGACAGTTTTCAGCAAAAACGCATGAAACAAGAAGGTAATTAAGTCTAATGCATAGTTATTCATCGTTGATTAGATTTATCTCTTGAAATGTTATTGATTGAAACATAACCTCACAGCAGTTAAACGCTTTCGATATATCTAAATTAGTTTTAATCGATAGCAAAGTTGATGGCCATATTGTTCTCCATCGAACCGTGTTTGGCATGTGGTGTTTGTAGTTGTAGGCAGTTTATGTATGGAGTATTTGCGAATTTATTTCGGTGGAAGTAATGTTACGTCGCCAGGCACGTTTGAGACGAGAATATCTGCATAGAAAGGCAATCGAAGGAAAGAAACGAAAAATTCAAGACAAGAAAGATAGGTTAAAACTATGTTTGGAAGAAAACCTCACAATACACACGGATTTGAGACGGAATGCGTTGGTTCTTCAGAAAAAATTAGAATGGGAAGACAGAGGGCCAGAACTTGCTGTTGCGTTAGGTACAGAAGCAGGCGGAGGCGGTGGTAAACATGAAGATGATGAGTACAGATGGGCAGGTGTTGAAGATCCAAAAATAATGATAACAACTTCACGTGATCCATCATCTCGCCTTAAAATGTTTGTGAAGGAGCTCCGGCTGATATTTCCCAACTCCCAGCGCATGAATCGTGGAAATTATGAAATGAAACAGCTTCTCCATGCTTGCAGTGCTAATAATGTGACAGATTTTATTGTTGTTCATGAACATCGTGGTGTTCCAGATAGTTTCATTGTGTGTCATCTCCCATATGGACCAACTGCCTACTTCACTATGACTGATGTTGTTATGAGGCATGACATACCTGACATTGGCACTATGTCTGAACAGTATCCACATCTTATTTTCCACAACTTCAAAACTGCCCTTGGTAATCGCGTTTCAGATATACTGAAATATTTGTTTCCTGTACCTAAGGAGGATAGTCGGCGAGTCATCACCTTTGCTAATCATGATGATTACATCTCATTTCGACATCACACATACAAGAAAATAAATGGAAAGGATGTTGAGTTATCTGAAGTTGGGCCACGATTCCAGTTAAAATTGTATGAAATAAAGCTAGGAACATTGGACCATGCAGATGCAGCTGATACTGAATGGGCATTGCGACCATATATGAACACAACCGCAAAACGAAGATTCTTGTCAGATGAAGATGGTTGGAACCAAGATGATGATGTATAATAAATGAGAATTAGACATTCCTTCAAAATTATTATATACTTCGGTAAATAAGTTCACACTTGACTAAAAGAAATAAAAGGGTATTTGCACAGTTAATTATGAATGTGTAGTATTCCTTGTGTTGTTTGTTTGCACAACATATGGCCAATTATACACTGATATTCTACATGTTGCAAAAGTGCCAAATGTTACTAAATATATGACAGGTGCTGTGGGTTTCTCAAGGTTGCATAATAATAATTTATTGGTGCCTTAACCTCTTCTATAGCTGTGGAATTGCATTTATGGCACAGGATATATCAAAAGTATTTATCATCAGCTATTTAATACAGCTTATGAACAAATGTAATACATTCTTGTGTGCTTAATTCCCTAACATGTTTCATGCTTGGACAGTGAAGTACATATATGAAAAAGTATGTGTACTGAATGTTGCAGTAAAGTGGTTAGCACTGATGCTTTGAATTTGGGAGGCCTCAGGTTCAAATCTTAGCCAGGACACTAGCTATTATCACAGGTTTTGATCATTTTTCTCAGGCCCTGCTGGCAAATGCCTGGATTTTGCCTCAAATTAAGGAAT